TTCCTTCATCCTCATTTCATATCTTATTATTATCTCTCCCCAATCATTAATACATTATCTTTATCCTACTCAGATTCAGCAGACATCACAACTTTCCATCTCTCTCTTGAATGCCTAACTATCACTCATCCAGTGTGTCAATAGCACAGGGTTAAGAATTTGTTTCTCTTTAGCATTGCAAATAAGGAGTTTTGCTTTATAAGGCCCTGAATTAGTCTCTATTAATTTTTCTTTTTCCTTGTTTTAGCTAGGGATTTTTAATATGCTTTAGCTGTACCTAGGTTTCAATGCTAGCAGCTGGGTAAACAGACTTTCTGCAACACTCTGGATAAAATGGCAAGCTCAAGGGGACAGTCTTCCACGTTAAAAAAAAAAAAAAATTAAGAAAGACTTGCTCACAGGCATGGTTGGGGAATAGCAACACCTGAGAGCACTTGAGGGGAATTGTGTGTGCTGGCTGTGGAAAACACAGCTGATGACCAAAACAGGCAGCTGCTGTCCGGAATGTGGCCGATGCTATCAGAGAGCAGCCTCAAAGTGTACTTAGCAAGAACAACAGACAAATGAGGTAAGTGATGTACATCTCTAACAGGCACTTCTAAAAGTCTATATGAGTTTTGTAGCACACAAAGAGAACACCTGATTCTCAATATTTTAAATGAATGCTTATCATGGACAGAGAGGGAAATATTCAAAATTGCTCAAGATAAATATTTCGAAGTAAGATTTTGAAGCACAAGAGGAAATTCATATGTCTATTTAAGAGAACAGACTCTGTCAAAATCCATAAATGTTTCAGTTTTGGAGATCAAATATGGTTTACAGGGTGAGAATTTTTTTTTAATAAATGCAGTGAATCCATCATTCCTAGAGTTTATTTTTAAAGTAATCTGCACTGCTAATTCATTCTCTCAAATCCTGCTACATTTTTACATATTTTAAAGATTTTCTAAAGTAAAAATATAAGCTGAGGAAAATGTGTATGAGCATTGAGGAAAAGTGCCTATGATGTAGTGTTTAATAGCAGACAACAGGCAAAAACATGGTACACCCACATGGTAATGTAGCTACTGTCACTAAACATATGCTTTTACTATAGAAGTGATTGGCAAACCACCCTGGGGAAAAAAAAATGTAGCATGTATATCAACATGCTCAAAAGAAAAAAAATTAAAAAACAGACAACAAATGATTAGCAGGCACAGCCTGTAGCTACAATATTTTTTACAAAAGCAAAAAACAAATGTTTTGAAAAGGTTATATGAAAAATATGGAAGAATAACTTCTTAGGCTCATCAAAACAAATGTTGTTGTGTCAGGTTTCAAAACAACAAGGACAATGACAACTAAAGGAAACATGTCTTTGAGAAACTCTGAAAGGGTCGCCCTAATCAAAGTCCAGGGGACAGGATATTTTTGCCTATTTTTTTAAGGCCATATTCAGAACAGTCCCTGGTTCACAGTAGGTGTTTGATAAATATTTGATAAGTGGTGTGCAAATGAATGAATGAGAAGCAAAAACACTGACACTCATGATTTCTTCTGGTCTCTCCAGGTAAGAAAGGAGCCCTTATGGACTCTACATTACTGGAACACGTTGATGTCTCTACAGGTACAGTGTTTCCTCCAGACTTCTATCTTCAGTTTAGAAAAACAAACTCACTGATAATTAAACCCATGTTATGATCAAAAGAATTCCTTTATTTTACAAGTTTTTCATAAGGCTATAGTGACTTTCACTACCTGATCTGCTATCATCTACCCCACTCTCTCTAACCCCATCCCTCACCCTTTCTCTTACTTACCCACCTACAGGCAGGTCTTCTATGCCACTCCTTAACCTTCCACCATGCACCTCTATCTTGAATGCTCCTCCCAGATGTCTTCCAGTCTCCTGCTCTCATTTTCTGCAGGCTTCTGATCATATGTCACTTTATCAGACAGGTCCTCCTAACCAACCTAAATGCAAAAGCCCCAGCCGCACTCCCAACTTCTGGCACTCTTCTTTTCCCTTCCCTGCATTATTTTTCAATAACTTAATTGGTCTGTTTCATTCACTTCTCTATCCCTATGTTAGCTAGCAAAAGTGCTGCCACGTAGTAAGTGCTCAGTAAATACTGACTTAGCAAATAAACAAAAATACTACTTTAGGGAAGTAATTTGATATTGTGATATATGGAAAAGATATGAACTTCTGAGTCTCATTTCTAACTATTTACTATGTGCCTGTACTTAGGAATAACCTCCCTAAACTTCAGAATTTTCACCTGCAAAGTGGGAAAGATAATAACAATATTAATATTTATCTGGCCTGTACTTAGCATCCACCAAATGCTGGTTCCTCTCCTTCTTTTCTCCCTGCTTCCTCTTTGTGATTAGGAGCTAATTGTGGCTTTGTTTTTAATGAAACAAACTTATAGTAATTCACAAGTTCTGAGGTGGCTGTGAAATAAGAGAAACAACATGCACAACAAGACCAGAAGTTCAGGGTAAGCAGACCCCTAAGCAAACTCATTCCCAGCAACAGTGAACACGGAGTGTGCCTGTGTTTGAAAACTGATGGCTAGATACGTGGCACAAAAAGAATGCCTGCTTTCTTGCAGGTGCTGTCACCTGACAGGGAGCCTAGATAGAGATGTCAGGGGTGGCTTCATGGAGATGTAGAACTGGCCTTTCAGGCGGGACTGTGCTTCACAGAACGCTTGGTCTGGGAAGTATTCCAGAGAAGAAACAAAAGAAACCAAATGGGAGTGTGGCTGGAGCAGGGCCTTTTTATGGAAGCAGATTAGGAGAAAAGCAGGCAGGAAAGATGATATGAGATGTGGAAAACCCTGGATATCAGACCAAAGAGACCACATTTAATCTCATAATTTGTAGAAAATGGCTAAAGGTTTTGAATACTAGAAAAAAACCTAAAATCATAGAAAGAAAATGATAAATTTCAATACATTAGCAAAGACTTCTGAAAGCCAAGCAATAAGCAGCACTAATGAATCCAGTGACAATCTGTTCAAAAAAGCAAATGATGAAATAATAAATGAGAAGGAATCAATTCCCTAATCTCCCCTGGTCATCACTGTTTGATCCACCAGAGAGGAGAAGAGACTTGAGCTGAAGAGACTCAGAAAATGGCAAGTCATAAGACAGCACCAAAAAATGTCAACAAACCAGCAGAAGAGAGCATGAACCTGGCCTCCAAACAGACTGCTGTATTTTAACAGCAGTATCTGTGATGATGCGCTTTCCCTACCCTATTTCCTCCCTTCAGACTAACCCCATCTCCTTCCATGTACTGTGACTACTTGATCTTCTTGAGTCTGATAGAAATATAACAGACCTTAAGAGTTCAAAAATGCTGAGACTCCCATTTCTGTGTGTACAAAAGTGCAAAGAAGGCGACAGACTAATTCACCCCAAAGAGGAAGAATAAAAATCTGTAATGCATCCTGCTAAAAGTCTTTGCACAATGAAATTTTATAACAGAATTTAGCAAGGAATAAAAGTTTGAGGACATAGGAAACCAATGACTTAACTCTGTGGTTCCTGAAGCTATCAAAGTGCTGGCAACTAAATAATGGGAGGATACTTATATCTGCCTAGTTTTTATATTTTTCTTGGGATCTGCTCTTCTCACAGCGTGGACATAATTTATTTAGACTATCAAAGAGCTTTTGATAAGATTCTCACAAGTGCCTATTATTGAAACTTGGTAACCATGGTGTGAAAGGAAAAAGTCATATCAATGAATTAAATGAATTTAAAATGCTTAAGAGGCAAAGAGGCAAAAGGCTGAAATAAATGGCCAATTCTCATGTAGAGAAAGGTTAATCATTGAGGGCTCTGGGGCTTTGCGGTAGAATCAGAATCGTATTTAACTAATGATCAAGAAAGGGGCCACAATTCTCATTCCCCTGTTCTGTGGGTATCAATCTCACACACAGAGTCCCCATTGACATGAAGAGCATTTGGCACATAGAGGATAGGCTGTGTAGAGAAATGTTTAAAATCCAGAAAGAGACAATCAGCAAATGAATATTAACTCATAATTTCATGTACAAATCACAAAATATAAAGGGAACAACAAAAAGCAACATTAGCACAATTATATTTTCTTAGAACTTTGATAGATATTACATAGAAATAAGTGGGCCTTTTCAAAAGACAGGATATGATATTTGAACAAAAAGGCCTAATTTATTTGTATGATTAAAACAAATTTTCAATATGGAAGAACTCTTCATATGGGCATTTTGGATCTGAAAAATCCACAAAGACTGTGTCTATGGATTGAGAAGTTTAGAAGCAAATGAAAGTGAAACTTTTATGATACAGTAGGAATTATTACTTTGGGGTTTAGGGTTCCCCCCCCCTTGAAGCAAAGTCAATACAAAAGCATAACCTGACATGAATGGATAATTTAGAAATTAAGCACTGTAATTAAATAACATTAATCTTTTATGACTCATAACTCAATCTGGTATTTTCAATGGCCCAGAATCATCATCTTGATTCACACAGCGATTCAGAAAAACCATTAAACTCTTGGTTTTCCCTCTGTTTGCCAAGGTTTCTGTATCTGTTAGATGAGAATAATAAAACTTACCTCAGACAATGATTATAAGGGATAAAAGTGATAATGTATGGAGCATTTAACACAATAAAAAACCAAAATAATATTAAATTATTATTGTTGTTATTATTATGTATGATATACTAAATCCAAACAGTTATAGGCCACAGAGAGGAAACCTGATTCAAGTCATTGTGACTTATTTATATCATTATGACTAAGTACTGAATAAAACATTTAAATACTTTCAAATGTCTTTGAACAACAGAGAAAACCATAGCTTTAAAATAGCTTTCCATTAACCCAATTTTGGGAAGTGGAAGAGAATTACAAACCAATCTCACTAAGCACAAAAGACTCCAGAAAAACACCAAATAAATTATTATTGCATATTAATTCTTAAATGTATATGTGCTAGATCCAAGCTTACCGTGCAGATAGTATTTTAATAAGCTCTTTTCTATTCTCCACTCGAAGATGGTTGGTTTTATACTTGGAATCATCAATCAACTCAGGCAAATTCAAGATCTAAAAGGGAAAAATATTTGCAAAGTATTTCATGTACCTGTAAATCCTACTGGATCCTAGTGACCAGCTCTAATTTAGTAATAGATGAAATTTTCAACGTGGAAAAACCTCTCATGTGTTCATTCAGATCCAAAAACCCACAAAGAGAAGTTTAGAGTGTTATGAAAGTGTCCCTTCCAAGACCATTCCTTTCTGATCTTTATAACTCTCAACAAGGGGATATGGAAGAAACAATCACACAATTAGGATGGGTCATGCCAATGAATAGGTTTGTCATTTACAAGAAGGTTTCACTACATTTATGCCTACAATGAGAGCACAGAAAAAAAGTTTTCAGACCTCCATAATATCTTGTACTCATATATGAGATTATGAGAAGAGTTATCAGATCCGCAAAAAGTCTTATCTGAACAAAATATGAAGAGAGGTTCAAAATCAGATAAAACTGACCTAATTTTATGAACCAAAATCCTAAGTACATGCCTGCCCTTACATGAAGCCCACAATCAACATATCTTATAGGTACCTTCACTTATTTGTTCCACATGTAAATAAAATAATATTATCTGTCCCAATAGTACTATCCAGGATGTTGTACAAAGTGCTAAAATAAAGGGAAAGCCATACATTTGCCCAAATGCTAACCATTAAAATGACATCAAATTAAAAGATCTTCTTGCTATAGGAGTGACACTACTTTTCTTTAGTATGTCTCCCTGAAGGAATACCGACTAGAAATGCTTTTATATACTTCCTCTTTTGCTGCTTCTCACTAAAGGGAAAATCTATCTTGCAAATCCCTTTGGACATCTTGCAATTTTAACAAGACCATAATGAAAGTACCAAGTGGATTTGGAATGGAAAAGACGTTTTGAAAAGAATGTGTGGAGGCAGGGTTTGGCGGTTGTGTTGGAAAGTCAGAAGGCGCATTTATGGGTTGGGGGCAGGCCATGTGGCATACAGAAAACTTCACTGCCTTTATTATGTATTTGCTTTCAATATAAACATTTAATGGTTTCATTTGTTTCCCACAGTTTAAATAAAATCAATCCATTAATCATCTTACAAAGGAGAGAGAAGTGAAGAAGATTCCCTGGAGCAAAGAGACCATCTCAATGGTGTAATTCCTCTTTCACATGTTCCACTTACTCGTTTCCCTTAGGGAATGATATAGACAGCGTTACTCTCCCAGATTTTAAAAATGGCCACACCAAATACAGTGCTTTTGCTAGAAACCTCACTATCAGCACATCTGATCCCAGAATGGTCTCAAGGCTTGTCCAGTGGTCAGAAAGCCTCCCCAATTGGGAGTTCAGAAGTCATTTAAAGAAAAAACAAGTGCCTTCCAAAAATCATAGGTAAAATTTATAAGTCTGGCCTCACCCAGAATACACCATAGCTACATAAAAATGTACAGAGTGACTACATGCAAGGGAGACTGAGGTGCCCACATGTCCTCTGTATTTGACTTTTTGAACCTCTTTTCTCTTTTAAAGTTGGTGTGAAATGGTGGGTCAAAGTAATTGTCCTTCTGTCTGCAGCTATGCTGGCCAATGTTCAAAATGTTTCTAGACAGACATCTTCAGGGGCTGTGATCACATACATTCTTCAGGGGCTTGAAAAAAAGTGCTGCCTGGGATAAAATGAAACTGTCTATGAAAAAATGCTTAACTACTGAGCTCTAAATAAATGTGAACTATTGCAGCTAAGCAATGTTTCCCTTAAAAGAAATGATAAAGAGGTATAATTGTTCAAAAAAGAGAGGGAAGAAAAAGAAGACTGGCTCCATAAAAATAGTAAAACATGATAGCTGAAACGGCAAAGAACTCTAGTGCTCCCATCACCTGATGACACAAATAGCTGACAACAGCCTCCTTATGACAGCCTCAAAGGCTCCACAGAGCAGAGTCAGTTACCCCTAACATCACCTTCTACCATATTTTCCCCCTAGGTTCCTCACTGCAACAGTGCTAGCTTCTTGCTGGAACAGGAATATGTCTACCATATGTGGGCCTCAGGACTTTAACAGTCAACTATCTCCTTGGCTGGAACATCTTCCATCAGACATTCAGTTGGCTAACTCTTTCTTTTATTAAATCTGCTCAAACCTTAACTTCCCACTCTTTTGGAGGGGTTGGTAGGTTCTGGGGATTGAACCTAAGGGTGCTTTACCACTGAGCTACATCCCTAGTCCATTTTTATTTTTTGAGGAAGGGTCTCCTAAGTTGCTTAGGATCTCTCTAAGTTGCTGAGGCTGGCCTCAAAATTGTGATCCTCCTCCCTCAACCTCCTCAGTCACTGGGACTACAGGTTGTGACACCACACCTGGCCGTTGTTTTTTGTTTGTTTCTCCTATCTTTTCTGACAACATCTGTCTTTTCATTGGTGTGGTTAAGTCATTCACATTTAATGTTGTAATTGATACTTTGAGGTTACTATTGGAATTTCTTATTTTTTTCATTCTTTTGTTTTCCCTTTCCTATCCAGAAAGATAGAAATTTTTTGAAAATTTTTAGTATTACATTTATCAATTTTGATTTTGGTTACTATTTTCTTCTATACAGATGTTCAATAATTGATTTAGAGTAAAAAAGTGCTACTGTTACTCTATCTGTTGTTCAGCCTGAATAATTTTTATGGATTTATTTCCCAAATCCTTGATTATTTCCTCTGTCATCTCCAGTAAAGTATTATTTATTTTCTTAGTTATTGTCCTTTTCAGTTCTAGAATTTCCTTCTTTTTTCATATCTTCTATTTCTTTCTAAACAATTCTACTTTTCCATTTATTTCAACAGTGTCTATAAAGCTTGTTAGAGCATTTTTATAATAGCTGTTTTAAAGTCTTCATGAGTTAATTCCAACATCTGTGTTATTTATTTATTGTCTTTTGTCATGCAAGTTCTGGTTTTTCATATACTGAGTAATTTTGGACTGTATCTTGGATGTTTTGAATATTGTGTCAGGAGTCCCTGGGTCTTGTTTGAATCCTACAGAGCATTTTTTTATTTAAACTTTATTTATTTTTATTTTTTTGCTTTTATGTGGTGTTGAGGACCAAACCCAGTGCCACACCAGTGGAAAGCAAGCACTCTACCACACTGAGCCACAATCCCAGGCCCTATAGAACATTTTTGATGTTTTTGTTTTCTGCAAACAACTGACCTGGTTAGGTCCAAGCTACAAGTTCCCAACTACCTTCTATGTGTTCGGTTCTAATGTTGGTTCAGTTTCAAAGTCTTTGCAGTGTTATTTGAATGTGTCCTACATATGCCTCACTTAACAGTCCATCACACTACAACTGGGGCAGTCGTCTATTGTCAACCCTGTTCTCAAGATGTTTGGTATGCTAATTAGAATCAGACCGGTGCATGTGCAGCTCAGGGGTGAGCCCAGGAGTCCAGAAACAACTTCAAGGATTGCTTTTCAAAGATCTTCACTCTTTGCAATCTCTCCAGAACTTTCCAGTTCCCTGGGGCTTCCCATTAGTTACCCCACTCTCAAGCATACTTCCAGGGAAGAAAAGCTAAGCAGTGGAAAAATAGAGAAAAAGCAATACAGATTCATCCCTTCTTTAGGACCTCAGTTAAGCAATGAAGATGAAATTTCCTGCCACTTACAGGATTACTCAAGGGCTGGGCATGAGAAAGTGGGGAGGGGAAAAAACAGGACTTCCACACTCTTACATTAGAGCTTACTTTTCAGGTTCCTTGCACCAGAAATAAAGAGCATCTCTGGATCTTAGCTTTGGTGCCTGGCATCCACTTTACAGCTTCAGGCTCCACTGTATTCATATAATGGAAAAACTGGTAAATTTACTGCCAGTTTAGAAGTACTCTAAATTCTGAGGTTCTTACTCAATTCTCCTACTGTTCACTTTTCAGAATCCTCAGATACTCCATGCGTTCTGCATAGGTTTTACCACTGTGCTGGGTGGAAGAGTAGGGAGAAGAGTACTTACTGGATCCTCCCTAGAATCACAATCTCCCCATCCAATTTTGATAGAGACCATTTATAAGTGCATACTATGAGCCAGGATTGTACTGTTTTACTTACCTAATCAAACTCTTAAGAAACCATTCAAGTTATTGTAGTTATGTGTTTTAGTCTACATTTTATACATGGAGAAACGGAAGCTTAGGTAAGATTCAGTACCTTGCCAGAGGTTACCTGACTAGTAACAAGATTTACAGTAGGCCTTAAGAATTATGCTAGAGTGTCCTCAGACCACCTACCCCAAAATCAACTACAGTGCTTGTTAAAATTGAAGTTCCCTGTGACCCACATCAGACACACTAAATCAAGTCTTTGAGAATGGGCCTCCAGGAGATTCTTATGCATACTAAAGTTGAGAACCAATGCATATTGCCTCCAATAAAAGAAGCCTTCAGTCTAAATGATTTTTAAAAGGATGTCAATATACTTCAAATAGAAATACCCATTAGTGTTGGCATCAATCAGCTTAAAATAGCTTACATATGCTCACTTTCCCTACCCTTCTGTATCATGTTAAGGGACATAAAATAAAATTTGTTACAAACCAAGGTTCATTTTATACACAGCAAGACATTCTGACAGCCAAGTCTTGAACCAATGTTCTTGCTCCATTCCAACCCCTGACCCTAAGAGTTCCCTAATGGAAACCCTCCTCAAAATGTATTAATCAACCAGTATATCAAATTCTATTTTGGAAAGAGAAGGGATAAGTAAATCCCATTCATTCATCACAAACAATGCTGCCACATTTCTCCCCAGGAGGTACAGCTGTCTCTTTCTTCCTGATGAAACTTACTTATAAAAAGAACAATTTTTACAGGCTCATTGTCAAAAACAATCAGCAAAAACAATGAAGGGTACCTCACCTTCTATAAGGACAGTTTGAGCAATGAATCCCTCATCAATAGGTATATTTGAATTAAAAATACTTAACTATAGTCACTAAAAATGACTGGGAGAATAAGAGAACTTTGCATCCAAGTAGGAAAACAGGATTTTTCTTTGGTAAGAATATTTTTAGGACAGGTTTACATGTAAGCATATAACTCACTCTGAAGATTGAGAAGACCAAATTGCAGCACTCACTCAAGATGCCTAGTAAATTATGTAAATAACACTAAAATCCCATACACACAAAATTATTCTTCAGAGGACCTCAAAGAGTTTTTGTAGACATCTCCTTAATGGTTCAAAGAGGGATTATCATTTCTGATTCACATATGGGAAAATTAAGGTGTGCCATTCTCCCAGGCCTCTGATGGCCTTTAAAAAAAAAAAAAAAAACTATATAGTTACACACCATACCAATAAGTCATAACTTTAGTACTAACAATTATGGCAAATATTATGCTTTGAAATGAAAATCTTTTTTGAAATGTTCTTACAAATATTTATAAAGAAGTTCAAAAGTTTCAAATTGATCAACAGTAATGAATCAAAAATTAAAAGTATTCAGTATAGTTATTTTCAACAGTGAAGAATATGTCAACCAGTCCTCCTCCCCACCTTTTTTTTCCTTTCCTTTTTAATTTTTTTTTTTTTTAGAGAGAGAGAAAACTCCAAAACATATGGCCCAGGAAGAAAATCTGTACTTGTTTAGAGCAATGAACCAGCTTTTACATCTCTGCAGTTAGAGTACGCAAATGACTTCACAGGCAAGGACTTCCGTATGTTTCATATTTTTAACATTGACCGTTCATAATAAAGATTCTTTGATCCCAGATCAAATGTTTGAATCAATTTTCTCTACACTTACTGAGTCACCATTATATAAAAGCTCCCTTCCTTCCCACCTCAGATGTGCCAGCCCTTTCTACAGTCGGAACTATCTCCATTTGTCACCTTTACTGTGGTACTTCCCACCACTTTGCTGTGGTTTTTAGCTCTGCTCATTAACCTCATATAAAAGAGGTGCAGTAATAAATACTTTTTGTACATAATAAATTTACTATAATAAATAAGTTTCCTCCAAGGAACTCACAGGCATCTTTTAAAAAGCTGAAAGCTCACAATAATGTGGTTAGCAAAAAAACTAATCCTCCATTCAGAAGAAAATTCTCAATAAGTAAAGCCTTTTCTTTTTCTACATCCAAGAAAAAGAAAAAGAAAACTGGAAAAAGTAAACTCATATCTAATGTCTTAAGTAAAAACAAAGGACAAAAGTTCTAGATATATATAATAAAACATTTTTTAAATGTCTAGGCAATGTTTAAAATTTAGAATATCCCTACCATGTTATTTTAAATGATTCCAAGGCCTTTTTTTCAGGCCTTGGTTAGGAACAACATTCTAATACAACCTTAATTTATAAAATCTTTAAACATAAATTTTGATAAAAGATACTCTAAGCAAAGTTTAATTTTTGAAAAAGTTTGAAATTTTTTAATGATGAACAAAATAAATTTGGGAGTGTTTAACTATATATGGACCTAATTAAACCTGATATTTGAAGGAAGGAAGGAAGGAAGAAGGGAGAGAGAAAGGGAGGCAGAAAAAGGAAAGAAGGAAGACAGTAAGAAAAAAAAGGAAGGAAAGAAGAGAGCGAAGGAGGGGAAAAGTAAACTGATATCTAAGGTCTTAAATAAAAACAAAAGACCTAGGAGAAGGAAGGAGGGGAGGAAAATTCCCATTGTTAAATATTGCTTTAAAATTCATTTTCTTTTCTTCCCCTTTTAATATTGACTAATAGATATATAAAGTTTGAGAACAATTTAAGCTAACTTCTTCATTTCAAAATCCAACTGAATGTTATAATTTTAAAAAATTGTGTGCTAATTCAAATCCAGTCATTATCATGTATGATAAGTTTAAAAATGGTATATTTTTAGGTACTAATGTACGGGGTTCTAACTTGGTTACTGACTTAGCATCATTGTGCTAGGCAAAACTAAACTTGCCCTAACTTTGCACAAAATGAATTATTGCATATATCATCTACTCATCCCAGTGATTATGGATTACCTTGCACACAGTAGCAAACTGTTGGTCATTTCCTGCTCCAACTACAAAATAGCCATCCTTGGTTTTAAAAGCCTAAAAGAGAAAAACATATGTAAATATATGTTTACATGTTGAAAAGACCATAAAAGTTGATTTTTAGGATCTAAGAAATCTATATAGATTTGCTCTAAAACAATGTCATTAATTAATTCAATATCAACTACCTTGTACCTTTTTCTCTTACATTAGCATACCTGTTTTTATTTAGAATTTTCAAAATACTTCCTAGATCTTCCACTATGACAATATCGGGGGGAAAAGTGACTCAAAAATTAAGAAAATGCTAGTTTATTATTATAACTCATGAAATTCATATCTTGTAATATGGATTAAAAGCTTTATGTTTTGTTTCCATTTTTTCTTGTAGGGCAGAGAACACTATAGAGCAAAAGGCACTGTTTGCTACAAGTGTAAGAATAGATGGATAAAAGAAAGAATGAAGGAGGCGAGGAAAGAGGAAAGAAGGAAGATTGAGTGAGCTGTGGACGTATAAGTGACTGAAACCCATGACACCCATGGCCCCAAACCATTTGAAGATCCTTCCCATGCTCCCTCCTTCTCCACCCTTCTCCAGTTAGGATCACAGTGCAGCAGGAGGACCCAAATTTTACCCTCAGAAGGCCTCATTCAAATTTCCCAAAGTAAATTAACTCTGAATTTCCTTTCTTTCTATGTAAAATTTGCTCTGTATTTTCACCTACATTTTCTTCACTTGCTTCTGCTTCTGAGAACAATGATGTCTAACTCTATGGTAGAAGTTACTCCTATGTTAATAAACATAGTGCTACATTCACCCACATTCTCAGAGACTGAATCCCTGTCTTCTGCCTACAGGTAGGCTCCAGTTTCCAGGAAAATATCACTAACAGCAACCATTTTTCATCAATCCCGACATCCTTCTCAAGCTGTCTTGAATTTTTCTTCCTTCCCTCCATCTCTTGATGACATAAAAGCACAGCCTACCTGCCTATGCTTGCTCACCAACACCATGCTGCAGTGTCCTTTGGCATCAAGAGTCTTTATACTATCACCATACTGAAGCTATGCTTCAGTAAACTCCCCTGCATTATTTGGTATAATTAACCATCCTCTACTTCAGGATCCTGTCTTAGCTGTAGACTTTATCCAGACTCATCTCCTATCTCTTTGATCTGTCTTCCCTATGCACCTTTTAGAGGATTTTCTTCTCTTCAGTCTTCAGCATTCCTTAAGCATCTGTCTTTGGTCTTTTTACTTCTCTTGCTTCTTATGATAGTTACTCACCACATATGACTATTAAATTTAAACAAACTAAAATTAAATTAGTGAATCACAAAAGACCAAATTCTATTTAGATGAAAAGTTCAAAATAGGAGAATCCATGGAGTTGGGGGGGTGGGGAGTTGCAGCTGCCTAGAGCTGGGGAAGTTGGGGGAAAATGGGAGCAATTGCTATGAGTACCAGGTTTCTTGCTAGAGTAATGAAAATGTTCAAAAATTGATTGTGGTGATAACTGCACAACTTTGCATATAGTAAAATATCAATGAATTATATGTACAATACAATACAATAGAATTGAATTATATCTCAATAAAGCTGTTATTTAAAATATTAAATTAACAATTCAGACTCACAGTCACACCAACTACATGTCAAGCATTCAATATCTGCATGTGGCTAATGGATTAGAAGGCACGGGTATAGAACATTTCCATCATAGAAAGTTCTGGTGTACAGTGATGGTAGATTATATTTTTTTCTCTTCTAATCTTCCTACAAGGCCTAACATGATATCTAAAGAATATAAGCAATTAATAAATAGTTTGTAAGTATAAGCAATCAATCAAATAATTAATTCCAGATAACAAAATTGTGGCTAAAATAGATTTCATGCAAAACCTATGAGATTTTATTCTACTCACATTCTTGCTTGATTTGGTAAGGAATGCTATTAAGAAGATATCATGTGAACTATTGTAAGCATTTTCCCTTGTCCACAAGGGCAAAAGCAAAGTTAGTGTCCATGCACTAGTGTTTCTAAAGCTACAGAAGGGAATCTTGCAATAGAACTATGGGTGAGGTGCAAAGAAGATTTCAGCTGAGATGTCTCAATGAGTTATTGATAAGTATGAAGTTACACAGGTTGTTTGCTGTTTGTAATCAGAAGGAAACAAGGGGAGAGGATAAGTAAATGTGAAGTAACCACATATGCTGATAAGTATAACACAAAGGTTTACAAAACGTTGGATCAGTAACATATTTTATAAGTTAATGTTTGGAAGGTGTTAATTTCCTTTTAATAAATGAAGAAATTCCTGTTTATTCCTTCAGTCTCTAACATATCATGAAGTATATCTTTATCAATATAAACATTTAAAAATTTTAAGGAGACAACTACTTGATTATCAATTGAGAAGTAAAAACTGACTAGCAGCTGAGCCACCAGATTATTATCAGATTTAAGGATTATCAAATAGATCTTATAACTACTAAGGTATGATTGTGTATTCTTTAAAATTTTCTTCCCTATAATTATTATTTCACCAGTGTTTATTTAATAAATGTATTTTATATGCAAACTTAAAAATAACACACTATCATTATAGAAAATCAGGCAAGTATAGAGAAAATACAGAGGAAATAAATTACCCATGACACCATCACCCAGAAGAATTACCTGCAAGTAGACTTCTTTCTAGTCTCTTTGTGTTCACTTTTATGTAATTAGTATTTCACTATAGATAAGTTAATAATCTTCATTTTTTATTTAAGATCCTCTCACAAGCATATTTGAATGTTATTATTTTTAATGATAAAAAATATATACTTTAAAATTTGCTAACACATTCTCAGTTCATTTAAACTGGAGGATATTTTTATTTTGTTTTTTTCTCACATTGGACCCCATATCATGCAGTTAATATCACTAATAAAAATAATTTTAATTTCATAACAAAACTCTGAAATGAAATATCTACTTCATATCTTTTAAAATAGATCTTTATACCAATAAAACAATATAATAAAAATGAAATAGCAAAAATGAATCCAGATCTACTATTTATGCAACCTGGATGATATCAGGCAAGTTACCTAATTTCAGAGCCTCAATTTTTTCTTCTAAAAGGTAAGAATGATCAGTACTTACTTTTAGAATTATTATAATGGCTATTGATTAAAAGCACATTCATTTGTGTATTTAAAAATACTTTTTAAACATAATTTATGATGTGTTAGATATTAGGTACAATGGGTACAAAATGATAAGCTAAATACCTATGGTCCATCACAGAAAACTTACATTTCAATAAAATGACAGACATTGGTCAACACTCACACAAATAATTACAAGCAGAGACAGGTACTAGAAAGGGAAAGTACAGGCCACAATGGGGATCTGACAATACGTGGGCCTAATTATCTCAGTTGAAGGCTGAGAAATCAGAAAGATTCTCTATAAGAGTGATCTTTGAGCTGAGGTACTAAGTAAGCATTAATTAGGTAAGAACTGGGAGAAATGTCATTGCTGACAGAAGAAACTATGTGTGCAAAGGACCTGTGGTGGAAAGAAGCAATAAGCCATAAGAGAATATGGGGGAAAACAGCATAATGAAGGCTATAGAAATAGGCAAGGAGCTATATGAAATCCAAGATCATGTGAAATAATTTATCATAAAACTAATGGGAAGGCACTAAAAGGCTTAAATAATTGTGTTTGCATTTGAGAAAACTTTCTGGTTGTGATGTAACAACATATTGGAGGATAAGATTAGACTTGAATAGACCAATTAAGAGGCAAAAATGATCATGGCAAAAGATGATGTCGTCTTAGATTATGGGCCATGATGACACAGATGGAAGAAAATAGATTCAATAAATATTTAAGTGGTAAAACCTATTGGAGTTGGTAATGGATTGAATATGACGATTAAGAGTTAAAAGATAAGGGAAAGGAAGGTCTCATAGTTCACACTTAGGTTTTTAAGAAGCTTTTGAGATCCCGTTGGAAATTTCACCTGAGTAGGACTTGGGGACCTGATAAAAGTCTGAACTATAGATAAAAATTCACTCTTTTGCTTATAATCTATGACTGAATTCAATATAAAAGTGAGATTATTTAGGAAGAGTTTAGACTTCAGAGTAGGGGGAAAAAGGTGAGAAATCTGAAGACCACCCCATCTGAAGTCTAGACAGACAGAAGAGGAACAGCCAGAGAGCAGGGTGAGGATTGAAGAAAGCCTGCAAGGTGGGTTTCAAGAGCTGGCATTATGATGACAACTGAATGAAGTCTGGAGTGGGTTGAGGATCCAATTAACAGTTAAACAAACCGAGTAGGTGAAAACATCTGAGAAGGTGGGTGATAAACAGGAGGAACAAGCAAGGACTGAGAGCACAGCAGAAGCACAGATGCAGAGGCAGGTTCCCATGAGGGTTGGGTGGAGGGAAGCTGAGGAAGTTCCACTGGATTCTTCTTCTACTTTATGAAACAAGGGGTAAGGTCACTAACTGAGGGTAGCGACAGGAAGATATGCAACTGGAAGACTGTAAAGAGTTCTGAGGTGTCAGACTGAGGGACAGTAAAGTGACCAGAGAAACGCTATTGAAAGCTAAAGTGCTGAGAGCCCCAGCTGAATGATTTTCTCTACCATCTCCTAGTTACCCAAAGAATAAAGGCATGTTTACATTCACTGGGTGTAGGGTTTTGCCAGATAGATATGAAAGAAAAGGACAGGTATAGGAAAATTATAAAACTAGCCAGAATATTATTGAGCAGTAGAGCCATGGACTATCTAAGGAAGAAGGTGGTAAAGAAAGGAGGCACAGACAGGGCAAAGAGAGCAGCATCAGCTGATAAGGAATCCCAGTGAAATCTATGAAAAAGAAAGAACAATATGAAGAGTTGAACAAGAAAGGGAGAAGAACAGGAGATAAAGATGGTTAGAACACAAAAGGTTTCATTCTGTGATTACAGAAATCAGTTTCAGGTTATGACTAGAGAGTCTCAGTGTGCAGTACATAAAATGGTTGCTGACATGAAGTGGGGCTATATAATG